CAGGATAATCTGCCATGCAACTTTCTTGAGAAGCTTCTTGAGTGCAGGCTGAGTGATTGTGAACGTTTATGTCCTGCTACTACTCTTTAGTAGTGTCACTGGAATTCTCATTGTCAACCATACTCATGGAAGAAGCAGTCAAAGAGGCAAAGCTTGTCAAACTAAGGTACGCTCAAATGATTGCTTTTATTATATTTAGTAATATGCTAATTATAAATTGCACAGTTACAAAGCGCTGTTGCATTGGTGGCCTTCCAGTGCTATAAGCAAAATGATAGAAAATGATAGTTTTTGTGAGTGGATTTGAACTACAGGTCTCCCTCTAAATAAAGACCACTTTTGGGACCACAGTTTCCATGATCTTCAGTCTCTAATTAGAATAATAAAGATGAAAGACATTTGTTAATTTGAGACCACAGAAAAGTGGTCTTCTAATTGGGGAGGTCTTTAATTTAAGGGAGACACGTACTTCAAAGTGGAAGTATAATGAACTTGCAGGGTTATTTTCCCTAGGGAGGGTGCAGTGACATAATAACAAAGCCCTGTGAACAGTGGAAGGGTCATTCCAAATCAAACCATCCAAATTTTGGGATGTCCCACCTCACACTTCCAGTTTTTAAGAAAATAATAAATGGAAATTTTAATATAGAGTCAGTATATCCACCACAAGAGTGTTGCTCATGGCACTTTGTGCAATTTAACTTCTTTTTCTTTTATTTACACAGTACTCCAGTATCACAAACCACGCCCAAACCACACCCATATACCATTCAGCACAATGACAATTCAGCACAATGACGCTGCAAGTTATGGCTTATTCTCCTACCTTTACTTTTATGTTACTATTTTCCAAGTAATGTATTATTAATAAGTGATAACTTGTTGGAATGGATAAAATGTGAGACTTGTTTTCCAAGGTGTCATTTTTGTAGTGAGTTGACTAATCCTCTCTGAAGAGTGTACTGTATTTGGTGTTTAAGACCAATATCTTAAATGTCTTTTACGAAAACCTGCGCTATTTTAACTTGAATTTCAGTCCTCCAGGTAAAACAAAAGGAGAGCACATGATGGAATTGAGCGAGGGACTAGGGTCTTGAAAGATTTGTGCATCACCTGAGGGTCTTGAAAGATTTGTGCATCACAGTAGCTACCACCAGTTCAGCCGCCTCAGCTAACTTACCCCCTTATGCTCTCTTTGCTTTGGAGACAAGATGCTAATGATCATCATAATACACCTAAATGTTGATTATTGAATATTATGACAATTATAATACCAAAAGTAATTTCCTTATTTGCAAATTAATGTTATTAATATATAGTGGTATTATATTTACTTTATTGTAATTAATATATAGTGGTATTATATTTACTTCATAATACTTAATATATAAATTGTGTAATTTTAAAATTACAATATTAATTACTATTGAATCTTGTATTGCATATGGAAAATATCAATAAACAATAAACAAATGTTTCCACAGTAACTTATAACCATTCACCTGTTTCTGTTGCCAAGAGACATAAGATGTCAGATTTGTTCTGTATTGTTGAGTGCAGTGAAAGTTGATAAAAATGCTAGAAGGTAAGATAAGCATTTACCACTATTTAACTCAGCAATCAGTTTTTGGAAATTTAAAAACTTATCATTTTATGTCAATTATATTCAATCAGTATTTAGTAATTATTGTCATTTGTGGCAAAGACAAGCCAAACCAGTCGCTGGTCACAAATCTTGTTTCAGAGATACCGTAATGACCAAAACATGATGGAATGTCAACATTTTTGAAATCTATTTTATTGCACTATCCTTTATATCTGTATATCATGCTATGCTGCTATTTTCCCCATTTTCAATGTTAAAACAAAACTTTTTAATGATTTTATGAAGTTTCTGCCTGAGAAATGCCTGAAATCATAAACTTCGAAGGCATGATTTCTCAAATATAGTTTTTTAAACAGATTTTTAAACTCTTGTAACATTGTAACACAAAATTGTTGGATTTAAATGGTTCTTTTACCTCATGAATAATTTGCCTATCCAAGTAACGTTATTTTGACTGCCAATCCCTTAAATATTGACGTGTAAAAATCTTAGTAGGCCTCTGGACCAAACTTAATTATAAAAACACTCCCTGTGAACCTTACAAGGGAGTTTTTATTCCAGGCCAGTGCCCAAGGCTTTGTCAGCCTCTTGTCTCGGATCCCTCCGCCGGACTTGTCGGACCACTTGTCGGCAAATTTCTGGCACCACCGCTGGTGCTAGGGGAAGGGGTGTTTTTGTATTGGTGGAGTTCGAGTGTTTAGGGCGTGACGTCGGTAAGCTAAGGCGAGTGAGAAGACAACTCAAAATGGCGGCCAGAATTTTATTTGGTGCTACTGAAAAAAAATGTTGGTGCTACCAACATTTTTGGTGAGATGTCCTACAAAATTAGCAGTGCTACTAGTACCAAGTGAAAAAGTTAATTTGTAGCCCTGACTACCTGTGTCTTTACTACACCAAACTGACATAATAGAAAGTATGCATGTCAGGCCTGACAGTTCACCAAAGCATGTCATAAAACAAATGTAAGTACCGTATACTATAATAGAATATAAAAATCTTCCTGTGACAAAATAACCTGCAAACCAACCAGAATAGCACCACCACATTATTCTGTAAATATTTGACCTCTCACTACTAAAGGAAAATAAAATCAAGCAAACATTGCAGCAGCCTGTTCTAATGCTGATTATATTGGTTTCAGTTTGTTTTCATGTGCCTCCTCACCTTCCTATTAAATTGCACTGAATGATGACCTTTGGTGCAGTGTATGCTCAGCTAAATGCATTCTGTATGCTGTAAAGGAATGAAAAAAAAAACAACTGTAAATTGTGGTTTCATTAGTAATCTGTACTTGCTATAAAAATCAGTAATTAAAGACAAAGAAGATAAAACAGAACGAAAAAAAAAAAAACCAAAACTGTATTCCCATAAACATTTTTTAAGTGACTTGTATGAGGCGATATTCAAAAGAATCTGGCATGTTCATCTGAAAATAGTAACCTTGATGTTAATTTGTATACAGGCTACTAAGACCATCTAAGACTAGCATCACGTAATATCACAAAATCTCTATATCCATACATTAGCTCAACCCGCCCTCGATAAACTAACGTTACGTTATCTCACTATATTTGGATTAACACATTATGAAGGATAAGTACTTAGTGTTTAACACTGGTGTTCTTGGATTCAATTATGGGTATAACTGACAGGAATTGAACCTATTCAGTACTCCACTTGACATTTACTATCAAAAATTGAAAACTATGGATCTGTAAAGGAAACAAGTAATTGTGGTTCCAAAATTACTTGGCTAGAAGGAAGCAAATAGTTAAATGCATAATAAAACATTACCTTATTGCCTCCACCAACGAAGTTGGCAGGAGGCTATGTTTTTGCTTGTTTATTTATTTAGTTATTTATTTTTCTGTCAGCATATTTGTTGTGACCAGCCTAACAGCCCATAGTTTTTATCAGAAATTTTTCAAACTTGGCCACAATGTTCCTTTACCAAATATCTGGAAGTGACTAAATTTTGAAGGGTCAGGGAAAGGTCAAGGACACAATTATCGTAAAACTTTATATAACTGTTTGCCATATAGACGTGTATGTGTGCTGATACAGGCTTGCCGGTAAGGTGTAAACAAACATGACATTAATTTAAAAGTGATATATGTGAAAACAGTTTGGTGCAGTGGTTTGGTGTAAAGTGTTTTCCACACTACCAGCCCCGAGTTCAAATCCCAAGTAGTATACTTTTTTTTTTCCATTATTTTTTTATGGGGACAATATGCGGGGAAATTTATACTGAGGAGAATTATGATGTGGGCGCGGTGGTATGCAATCTCAGAGTGCCCTCTAGTTAGATTTATTTTTTATAAGGGGGCAGGGCTCTTATGGATCGGGGGCTTTGGAGCTTGGGAACCCAGGTTCAATGAAACTGCTGAGCCTGAGGTAGTTCTGCCACTGAAAACTGAAGTCCTGGTGTACACCATTGGCTCATGTACACTATAAAGACCTCAGTACATCTTTTCAGACTTCCAGTGTTCTGGTCCATCTCAAATGGTAGTAATACAATGGGTTCAGCCAAAGTATGTCGATCATGTAGTCGATCAGTATGCATGTATGTCGATCATAGTAGTCGATCAGTATGCATGTAATCATGCATAATTTCAACTCCAGTTCGTCTTATACCCCATTTAGACTAGCTCCGTGGTGGCGCCAGCAGGGGGACGGGGCCCTGGCACCCCGTCGGTGAGTGCTGGCCCCCCCCCCCCCTTTCAGGGAGAAAAAGCCCAATTCGTTGGGGAGAAAAAAAATGATATGTATTTTCTATATATTAGTAGACTCTAAAATCGATTGAATAAGCCTTTGAAACCCCTAGATTGTTAATTTTTTCGTGGGATTTTCCCCCTGGACCACTTTCGAAACTTTTTAATCGAAGCTCGACCACGCCCACATTGCTTTCGTCGGGGAAACTGACCCCTCGTCGGGGAAATCTGACCCTTCGTCCGAGGCGCCACCCCTGGACTAGCTTCGCATTGCGATCGGTTGTAACAATTGTTGCACCTATTCGCAAAGTAAATCGTGTTGGAAAGCTCACCAATAGTAGTTGATCAGTAATCGATTTCGCAATTGTTACCCGTTGCGATTGAGTGCCGCAATCTTTATTACTTCCGATTACAACAGAATCTTAATCCTATGAACAAATTATCTTTAACTGGGAGAGAAATTGGGCCTAAGTAAATTAAAATTACAACTTTTACAACATGACCGTTATAGTTAAGATTTATTGCTTTCTAGGGTTCAGTGGAACGGTATGTTAATAATATTTAAATTTAATATTAATTTTCCAATGTCTGAATTGTAATTTGTATTATATGAAAGTTATGTATTAAAAAATAATTATAGGCATATTCAGTGCAGATTCTTCAGTAGCCTAGAGGCTAGACCAGGGAACAGTGAAATTACAGGCTAGACTAACTAACTTAATGTAAATTATGCCTGGTAGACAGACTGTACAAATTGCTGGACGCACGCACTATAGGACTAGGCCAGACTAGGTCTCAGACTCTGAAGAGGCCTCCTGGTCTGACCTACAGTTGCTCAGGCTTTAATGGGCTAGACCTATGATCGTCCATACTAATTGGACCAATCGTCCGGAAATGGACTCGATCGTCCATCACCTGGCCATAGCAGCAGCATAAAACTAAGCCTCAGCCTGCTCGCTAACGTCGCATTGACCACACGGTGCATGTGTGAAGTTTTTAGGTAGACCGTATAATTATACATGATGTCACCATACAAGCCACGCCCCCCTCGGCTGATCCTGTTGTATTAGCAACTACCATTTCACAGCCCCTATAATTGTGGACTGGACAGCGCCCTTCTTGGTATGACACAACAGGAACCTTAAGGGAAAAGTAAGTTGTAGGAGGAGAAGGATCGAAGAAGAAAATACATAGTGCAATCGAAATACTGTAGTTTCACACCTGACAATTTTATAATTTTCTCACTTAAAAGTCAGTTTTATCTTGCAAGTTTATCCAGATTTTCTGGCAACATGTTTTCTTGTGTATAGAATGCCTACTTTTATAGATAAAATAATGCTATTTCTTCAGTTGACAATTTTTGTTTTATATTTTTCTCCAGATATCGTCAGTATCTCTGCTGTATGAAACAGTCTCTTGAGTTTGACAGACAAGTTTGGTGGCACTGACATCTGAGAATGGCTCACAGAATTTTGTGTGTGTACAAGTATTCTACATTTAAATATTTAAAATATAATGTAAGAGAATAAAGTAGAAATTGATAAATTTAAGAACTCTTTTAGTATGAAGCCTGGGGTAGTGGAGTTGACATATGAGGCATGTTGTGTAAAATGGCTATGTTGAATAAAACTGAAATTAAAATTTATCAGTTTTTTTTTTTAAACATTTTATACAGTAATTTTTAAATGAGGGGTCATCCATTAATATCAAACATTCAAGCTGTAGTAGAGGGTACACACCACTGGAGTCAAGATAAAGATGATTGTTAGTAATTAGCTTCCTGTATTAATGCAGACATTTTTTTAATGCAATTAACTACCAAAAAATATAAAAGATATGCTTTGTTGATCATTTCCCGAGCATAAGAATTTTGGACACGATTAATTAGATATTTACCTGTATTTATGTTGATTTACAGTGATATTTTTTCAAATATTTTTGAACTCCAATATTTTATAGGTAATTTACTCTATGCTGGCCTGTGTGATAACTTTAGCCTTTTTGCCACGACATTACCTCAGATTCACAAATCCAAGCATTGCATGATTTGAACCCATGACCCTGGAATTGGAAGTTAAGTTTATTAATTACCAGCACTATGAGTGTTTTCTAACCCATCTTGTGACCTTTATCTGATCAGGGCTGTGTTTTTTTTCAGGGACACTCAAGACTGTTGGTGGAAGAAGCTAGTGAATTAATTGTGGCATCTGTCTATAATGATACAAGGACTGTAATTGGACACAAGATTACAGCAAAAAGCCAGTCAACAGACATGGTAAAAAACCCTGTCTGTTAACATGCCTCCTCACTTTTCTATAGAATCAATCTGGTTGGTGACCATTGGGGCAGTGTATGCCAAGCCTAATGCTTATTGTATGTTTTAAGAAATGAAACAAAACTGTAATTCTAATATTGGTAAACAAGACTAGTCTATGTAAAAATCAGTAACTGAAGAAAAAAAAGTAATTTTGTAGTTTTCATATGTAGTTAAAGTAAGTATAGTGCAGTCAAAATAGTTCCAGACTGACAACAAATCATTTTCTCTCCCTAAAAATTCAATTCAGTTTTATCTTGCGGGTTTATCCAAATTTTCTGGCAACATAATTGTATATGTTTTCTTGTGTAAAATGCCAAACTTCTAGTATACAATAATAATGGCAATTTTTGTTTTATATTTTACTCCAGATATCGTCGGTATCGTGGTTTGTTAGCTGCAGAAGTAGTCTAGCTTTTCTGCATTATGCCATCGTTTTTTGACTTGATGCAAAATAACCCTGGAGTAATGCAGTTTGTGTCAGCTGCGTCTGGTGATGGTGATCATTGAAAGTAAGGTAAAACTAGACTTCCATCCATTTCATCAGAAATCGGTGTGATCAGACTGATTGTGTATTCTGGTATCCCAGCTCTCTATTCCAGCCCGTATACTCGTTCCCCCACCTTTACTGCAACCCAAGCTTATTATTAAGTATCCCAGAACCAACCTTCTCGAGTCCTTTGTACATAAATTCATTAATTTATTTATTTTTATGTTATTTTTCTGTACTGTAATTCAAGCAGATATTGGCCATTGATGATGGCACTTGCAGTATCAAATGCAATTAAATACATTTTTTGTTTTATTAGTGATTTTACATCCTGGAGTTATTCTCACCTCATTGGATAAGCCAACTGTTGCCATTGTTGCTAACACCCTGCAAACATTAAACCATTGTCCCAGGCTACTGTATGTCCACCACGTCTGCATTTACATTACGACTACTAACATCTGCTGATTTCCTTTTTTTAGTAGTTACGCCTCCAAATTGATTACTGGTTGCCCAAGAGCATCACTTTCCATAATAGTCTGTTAAAGCGTTTTGATGCAATGCTACTGTAAAGCCTTTAATACCATTTAGCCTGTAATAACACTTTACTATGAAATGTTGATCCTTCAAAACAAGCTCTTCTAATCCCTAATATATTTATGAGGATATTTGTTTGTAATTTCTCATCAGACAGTGCATTTAGAGACAAAGGTGTGCAGATATCATGTATTAATAGAATAGATCTTTTCAAAACTTGGAATTGACGAATACATTCAGCATTTATTATTCAAATATTTGAGAATCACATGTATAAATTCATCATGTATAACCAGGTCTGCATAACACCACATTCTCACACATTTATCACTGTTAACATCAAGATTTAGAAGTGACTACCATTGCTAATTGTTGTATAATTTTGCCTCAGACAATTTGAATATCGACTGCATGTTTGCACAAGAGTACACCATGAGTACACCATTCTATAATTAGCTGTACAAGTGATGATGCACTGTTTGTAAAACATTTTAATACACTTTAATGTGCTATCAAATATAAGTGTAAATTTTTAAATTTCTTATCAGACAGTACATATTTATGGACATGGTTATCGTACATATAATAATAGATATATCATTTTTACACTTGTAATTGACCAATACAGTACATTGTGCATTGCGTATTATACATTACTCTGAGATCACATGTTCCTAACAATTAAATCCCAGGGTGCATCAGTTTTTCCTCAACTAGATCCTAGGGGGAGGGATTTGGGTTTGAATTGTAACGAGAATTTTACACTTGTTTCAAAGTATTTAGAAAAAATCAATATTCTTCCACCTTAGGCAAAAGAGAGGAAACCTAGTTACCCTGCTTTTGCCAAAGGCCACAGATCATGAGATGAGCTTCTCGGAGTCAACGGCCAACCATTAATTAGTTTAAGGAGTAGGAGTAGTTTAGTCTCATTGTTATTATGATTATTATTTTTATTTTATTTTATTGTTATTATTTTAATGTTATTTGCGTTTTCTCAGTTAGCCTATATTTTCTCTGTAAAGCACATAGGGGCAATGTGCAATATGTGCTATATAAATATAACATTATTATTATTATTATTATCATGTGACCAGCATAGGATAGGGCCGTTCCACTAAGCTCCACCCCTTGGATACTGTTGTTGTAGTGTGGGACCTTAAATAGTGTAAACATACTTCTTGGTTGTTTGTGGACACATGCAGGTATTCCTGGCTGTTGAATAACAGCTTCTAATTGGCCAGTTGTTAGGTTTGACTGACACTCCTTAGAGGTGCATTACACTAGTCATCTGTCATCCACAGCCTTAAGCTCTGTCCAGATTATCAAATATTCTTTGACAAAAAGAAGTATTGATGATGTCATCTGAAAGTATTGATTGCCATATATAGTGATGCTGTGCCTATATATGGTCATGAGATGATGTCATCTGAAAGTATTGATGGCCATATATAGTGATGCTGTGCCTATATATGGTCATGAGATGATGTCATCTGAAAGTATTGATTGATGCTGTGCCTATATATGGTCATGAGATGATGTCATCTGAAAGTATTGATGGCCATATATAGTGATGCTGTGCCTATATATGGTCATGAGATGATGTCATCTGAAAGTATTGATGGCCAATAGTGATGCTGTGCCTATATATGGTCATGAATGAGATGATGTCATCTGACAATTCTTGAGAAATAAAGTTTGATAGTGTGGACAAGGCTTGACAATTGAGAGTGTGTTGTTTTATTTGTTTTGTGTTTGTTTACTTTGTTAGATACAAGAAGCTATTCAGACTCGAGGCAAAACCTATGTCAACACCAGTGTATTCCAGTAGTTTACTTTCTGAAGGCCGTAGCAATTTTTTCTAAGTCCACAACGATTATTGGGTTAAATCCGAGGAAAGTTGTGGCTAAAAAAGCTCCTGTGTTTGAGTGTATACTTCTAGGCCCTCAAAACCATTGGGTTCATCATTGCCTAAATTCCAGAGTCATTTTGCACTGATAAGCTGGGGAACATACCAGGTAGGTACGTATTCCCTTCTCAAAAAATATTTTCATTTTTATAATTTAGGGTTTATCTTCTTTGTAAATACAAATAGATACTGAAGCCAATCACTTGAAATATTGGAAGATCACAAAGTAAACTTTAAATATCAACTGCCAAATCTTATGTATGAGCAATGCCTTATTTCTGAATTAGGTCTATATGTTATACACATTTAAAAAAAAAATTAAATAAGGATAAATAGTTGAAAATCTGTTAAGGCAATGATATAGAAATACATTTTTTATTGATTTTTTAGTGAGGATTTAATTTTTCATGTATTTATGCATTGATTCATTGATCTGACTGGTTAATTGATTGCTTACCTTGGCCCAAACTTATACTGAGGGTGTGAAAATTCTTGGCTGTCTTGTACTGTATGACATGTATTGGACAGCATCATAGTTTATGAGTACTTAAAAGTAGTATCAGACTTTATTCATATTTTGACATCATTTTTCCACCAGGTTCTTATCAATTAGAATTAGAATTAGGTTCTTATCAGGTTCTTATCCTGCTCGCCATGTTATCTTTATAACCTCCAGTTATATATATGTGGTTTTGATTGTGTCGAGACAGAGAATGGATTTATACGCGTACACCTTGATGAGGGTTGAAAGGGTTTATTCATCAAAATGATACGGTTTGAACTGAAAGATTATAGATATAAGATTATAAAAGTCATAAAGTCGTGTTATAGAAAATCACTGAAATAGTTAAAATATAATATTGTAAATAAGTGGAATGGGTTATTGTACTAATTAACTTTCATGTAGAAAGTAAACAAAATAATCTGCACACTGTAGAACTCAAAAAAACAGAATAATCCATAAACTATAATTACTTAATCACTAAGTTACCAAAATTATAATTAACAAAGCACATACACATAATGCAGTCAACCTATTAAACTACTGTAACATGTTACTTGTTGCACAGCATAAAGCCTATATTATAAGATACATCATAACAATTAAATCTAATCAAACCTAAAATATAACATAAAATAAAGTTAAACTTACATCTGTATCCTCTTCAAAACCGTTGAGTAAATACAGTAAAAATTGATATTATAAGAAACAGTAGTCGTTTAAACAATAGAAGTTGAATTGGGTTGAGTTGAATGTAGAGTGTCTACAATTAGAAGAATGCCAAGCCAAACCCTGCCAAAGGGGCAAGATAAGACAATAAGGCCCTCTGATTGGTCAGGACTAATTAGTGTGCCTGGCCTTATGATTACTTTAACATATTGAGCAGGCCCAACTGGTAGTGGACAGGGCTAGTAAAGGGTATGAAGGTCACTCTATACTAACAACAAGGGTAGAGGATAATATCACTAGTTTAAACCTTACAATCTTTGGCTGTCCAACTGGTCTTCTCTGGCACCTCCAACTTTCTGGCCACATTCAGCACTCTGCTTTACATGACCATCGCGATCTCTGTCTTCATAAGCAGATCCCCAACAGGCACTCATCTAGAATTAGTTACAATGCTGCCCTCATACTGTAGCTTTTATTTCTTGTTTCTCATACTTATTTTTTTAAAGATTAAAGAAAAATAAAGATAAAATTTTGTTTTCTTATTTAGCAAATAGTTTTGTCAAAATCCAGACAGAGGAGAAAATAAAAATAAATATTTTTAGTGAATGTCAAATAGGATGGAAATGCTTCAAATTTATATAATTAGAAAGAAATATACAGTACATATCTTATCATCTGAGGGCGTAAAAAAAATGAAGTAAATCTTCTATTTTTTTCTGAAATTTCCACTTTTTCGTAAAATTTTATTTTTATTTGAAATCATCAATATTTGCAGTAGGCTGGTTTGATTAAACAAGGTACAGTATTTAAACATGTCTGGCCTTTAGTTGAAAGAGTAGTAAATTTTAATAATAATAATAATAATAATAATAATATTTTAATTATTTGTCCTCATTTTAATGGAAAATTGGAAATTTGGGATGGGGATCAATGGCTGCAGTGCAGTCACCCAATTTAACTACAACATATGAGAGACACGTACAAATACAAACATTGTCCTTCCTACCAAACTCTCAATAAAAGATGATCAAACAATTTCAACTGGTTTTGAATTGTGTAATGTGATTTATAGAGTAAAACAATAAATGTAGTAGGCATTAAAGCAAAGTACATGTACTGTACATTCACATCATTTGTACAATTACAAAAACAAGTCTTTAAGATATTTTGCCAACAATACCTTTATCGTATTAGGAGTTTTGTGGTAACGTAATAATAGTAAGTCAAAATTTTCTTATTGAGTTTTTGTGATGATTTATTTACAGTATGCATGGTTTATTAATTAACTGACTGAATGATTATTGAGCAATAACACAAACACATTATTTAAAAAAATTTTTCTGCTTGTTCTAATGATGTTTTGTGAGCTAATAGTTTATTATTTTCACATTTTCTACTCAATTAAGCACAAACAACCTGTGTTTTGTAGTAAAATTTTGAAATTGTATTTTAATAAATGCACTAGGCAATCGTACTATTTTTTATAAGGGAAAAATTGCTGTGTTTAGTTTCAAAGTACAACAGCATTTAACTATGCCTATGTGCCTATATTTTAGGCCTAATTACCAAACATTACCCACCCCATTAGGTTGGCAATGAAACATGTCTACAAATACATGTTAATGCTTCTTTTTTTTTTACAAGCTTATAGGTATCATTGATCACTTTACTTTCAACACTAGAATCACAAAAAAAGGAAAAAAGAGAAAGACCCAGAAAGCTTGAAAAGAAAAGAAAGCCGTAAAACCAGAAACTGATATTAGCACAGAAAAAAATGTAGAATTTGATGTCTTCCTAAATTCATATCTTGTTATATCATGTAGTATATCGAGTATTGATTTTTTGTAAATTTATATTTTTAAAATCCTGTACAGCGCCTGCGATCATTTTAATTGGATATTGTTTGTGCTAAATAAAGTTATTTTTAGTAGTAGTAGTAGTAGTAGTAGCCCAGGCATGCCAAATCACAGGGATCCCCAGCAAAACAAGATGGCCTATGGCAATTCCCCAAGAAAGCAGAAATCTCCTGAAAATTAACCAATCTTAATACGCAAAATCATAATATATACATAATTTAGTAGTAGTGTAGTAGCCCAGGGGTGCCAAATCTCAAAGAGTCACAAGGATCGCCAGCAAAACAAGATGGCCTATGGCAATTCCCCAAGAAAGCAGAAATCTCCTGGAAATGAACCAATCTTGTGCAAATTCCTAATATTTACATGTTTATACTACAGTACTGTAATTATCAATGGTCTCACGCAAGTCAGCTGCTGATGAGTATCACCATGTGCAGCTAAATAAAGTTACATGTGTTTAAGAAACTCATTAACCAGATCTCCAGCAAGTGACTTCTTCCAACTTAGGACCCCTGAGTAGCTGTGTTAATCTCAACTAAATCAGTAAAAAAATATATCAAACAGCACTTTTAATACACAAAATATAATTCATTGAACACCCAGCTTTTTCTTTATGCAAACAACTTCTTCAGGTTGCTATTTTAATATGAAAATATTTTTTTGATAGTGCATATAGTGGTCCCATGATTTCCAAGTTTAAGGATCATAATGATTTCTACTCGTATGTTAATATCAAAGGAATGGTCTTCGATGGAGATTGTGGATACTGGAAACCAATAAGAGCAATTGAGACAGGTATGTGTACAGACTCTTCCTATTCATGTGATACTGCAGTGTTTTGGGGTATAAGCCCACCTCTTCTATGCCTGCCCTTACTCTATATGTGGCAAAGACAAGCCAAACTAGTCACTTGTCGCAAATCGTGTTTCAGAGAAAATGGCTAAAACATGCTGGAATGTCAAATTTTTATAAATCTATTTTATTGTAGTAAACTAACCTTTATATATCTACACATCATTCTATGCTGTCATTTTCCCCATTTTCAATGTTAAACAATACTTTTTAAGGATTTAAAGATAGTTTCTGCATGAGAAATGCCCGAAATCATAAACTTTGACGGCTAATTTCTCATATATTGTTCTTTAAACAGCTGTGTGGTTAAACGCTTGTAACTTCATAAGGAAATGTCCGATTTGAATGATTTTTTACCATTTTATAGCTATTATTTTACTATCTAACATTGTATTAATAACTCAAAATCGATTTTTGCGACGAGTGACTGGTTTGGCTTGTCTTTGCCACATATGTTACATCTGATTTTATGTATTAGTGCCCCCTCCCCCAATCCCAATCAATTCCAGGTTTTGAACAAGAAGCTCAGTTGATTTTTTACAAATACTCTCAGGTAAAAAAAGATCTTGCCTTTGATTTGTTCATGCAATGTTGAAAATTCGCCTTCAAATGCCCTTCCCTATAAAGGTGAAAAGGTTTTTATGAATAGAGGGTTTCTCGATTACCTTTCAATATATATATTGACCAGGAGTGTGACTAGAGATGACATAGGAAAGCCCAACAACATATCAAGTGGTCATTTCTAAACCTCTGGCCAATAACAATAAAAAATACAATAAAATGTATAATAGGATGGTACTATGTAATATGCAGGTTGTCGGTTTTATGTAAAGTAAAATAAATATACTCTCAATGGATTTTTTTTAAACAATGATGATAAAAATGTCAATAATAAATATTATACAGTGGTGGGGTTATTGTTATTTATTTATTTTAGGTTTTTGTTAATGTTTTAATGGAGAAAGCATAAATACCTTGTTTATTTGCACTATATAGTTCTACCTGTTAATATCACTATATGCAAATCAAAAAAATAAAAACATTTCAGTATTAAGTTTTACTTAGGAGAAAAAAAATCCTTAAAAATTGAACAACAAATTGATTATCAATTACATGTGGGTGCACTAAAGCATAGTGGTTATCTATTCTTTAATCTTTGTTTTTCTTCTTTTAAGAATTTTACTATACAAGAGACAGTTGGGATGCATTTATGCCACTAAATCCACCTAGTAGCCCTCAGCAAGGCAGAAGCCCTATTGGGTCATACAGAGACTTAGCAGTGGAGCCATGATCACACCCGCTAAGTTGATAGTAATTCACAAATTGCACTACTTCATCACTGGTAATGGTAATAGTGATATACTTATAAGGTGCATAATACAAATTCGTTTCTATGGAAAAAAACCACAGCCCATGTGCACATAAAAATAGAAAGAATTTTAAACAAAAATCAAAAGAAAAGGAATCAAGTTCAGAATTAAAATAAAGAAAAAAGATGGGATTTGAGCCAAGACTTGAAGACAGTCAAACAGTCTCAGGTACAGTAGTTGGTTTCAAAGCTTTGAGCAGCAACCAGAAACAACGATTGCCACAAGTTGTGTGGTGACCAATGGAACAGTTATGAATGGTAAGTGAAGATGAGGTAGACCAAGTCTGCGGATGCAAACAGCAAAACGAAGTGAAATAAGATTGGAGATGTAGTTAGGGAATGATTTATGGAGTGACTTACAGTATATACAAATAACAAGATCTTGAAGTTAATTCTCAGATAAATGGGTAACCAATGGAGACGATGTACAGTTGGGGATGTGCTGTATGCCCACGGTTAGCTGGACTTTCCTCAGCAGTTTGTAGGACAAAAGCCATAAAGAACCCATTGCAATAATCCAATCGAGATTTAACAAAAGCATAGACGTCCAAGTTTGGAAGTATCACCATCATTGAGCATCATTTGCACGCATTCGATCCTCCCCTAAAAAACTTGCACCTTCCCATTTAAAATGTTCAAGGCAAAGTATATCATGCTCAAGTAGATAAAATCACCTTATTTTTGTAAACCTTTCCTCACTTAAACGAGTCCTCCACTTCGCCACCCCCCCCCCCATCAGCCCCTTCCCCATTTCCAGACTAGATACACCACTGACTGTAGGAGATTTTTACCGATATTAGATAGAATATTTAATAACAACAACAGTATTTTAATTGATTAGATGAATAACCGATATGTTGAGTGGCCGAGCGGTAAGGCAGAAGAAACAAGTTGCCTAAATTTTTGCTACTACAAGATTAATAGAAACAATAATATAATGAATGGCATCATACTCAAAAGTGATGTGTAATGGGTAAATGATAAATTTTGTTGTGCGTAGGGTACTTTAGCAGGCGTGTGTATTTTATTTTATTTTATTAATTGTTTTAGGCCCAAAGCCAAGGATCTGCCAAACAGGAAACATAATCCTTGGTGTGTATCACATAGAAGAAATTCAAATCGAAATCATTCCATCACTTTTCTAAGTGACATATCCTCTTTTACCAGACAAATATAAACACAAGATCCTCTAAGTAAACCAAGTCTCATTATGAGCCTAATAGGGAGTTGAGTTGTTTTGGTCATGAGAAAAAGTCCTGTTACTGTGACCGGAATCAATTACCCTGGGATTGGAAGGTAAGGTTCCTGTCGTATATTATATTATATAGCAATCGTATTTAAAACAAACCACATTTAAGTAAGACAATAAACAATATTCCAGCTCAAGCCAATATGTGTTTATTCGGTCTCTGATTTAACATGTCTGACTAACCATGAGGTATTTATAATTTATCAGTAATGCCTTGCTCTATTATCATTGTAGTCTTGCAATCCATACACTACAGTTCCCTCCATCAAGCTATTCAACTCCACTCAACCATTATTTAATTATTAATGGTAATGATAATAATTGTAGCGTTTGCTTTTGCGCCGTTTGCTGTAAACAATTTCAAGTTGCTAAGATTTAATTTTTAGCATAGCATTCTTTTAGGGTTTATAATTTTTTTTTTTTTGGCAACAGACAAGAAAAAAAAATTAACATAGACATAAAAAAGGCAAATTCCAGGCCTGATTTCTAACCTGCAGTTAATTTTCAGACACTTTGCCCTATCAAAACCATTATTCAAGTTACTTAATTTAATTCTTCATACATTATTGCAATCTTGTATACATAATTGAGGTTTAATATTAACAATAACCAATCAATAAAAATTAACATAAGGAAACACAGAAAGAATGATAGCAATATATTCAGAATAAAAAAAGTTATTTAATTGTTACATAATACATGTTTATCATATTCATTTTAATTATTTACTTTGTTGAATAGTGGTTTGGTAGACAAGGCCTGTAGCCATTGTGTGATGACAGGATGTGTGGCCTGTAGATCTGAAGATTCTCTCCACAGCCATGTAATGCACAGTGACAGGTATGGTACCCCTCAAATTATCAACATATTTGACCTCAACTATTCACATATGCATAGCTCCAAGTACAGAGTGTCACATCAAATAGAAAAACAAAAGTGCACAGTGGTTCATCCTCGCTTTGTTCTTCTATTTTGATCCATTTTCTAAACAACTCAAATTTGTTTACCTCCTCTGAGTATACAGCTCATTTAGACCTTCTTTACTGTATATTCTATTATTAATTTAGCTGTAATTTATGTATTGCATGCACTGTATTTATGTTTTTAATCTTTGTCTTTCAAGTAATTATTTAACTTTTGTGTATATTTTGTGTATTCCTAATTCAGGAAAACAAATTTCATGTGCATTTCATTTCATTTAAAATAAATGGAATCTGAATCTTGAGTCTTGAGGTGGGGGGGTGGGGGGTGGTGTCTGTCCAACTGGGGATTATTCCCCTGTCCCGCTAGTGCTTCTATTGGTGTGATCATATTCTTTGTCGGGTTTTGAAGGTCAAATGACGATAATCTTTTGTTTTTTAGTTTGAAAAACCGATTGAGTGCAGGCCGAGTGATTGCGAACGTTTTAATGTCTGCTGCTACTCTTAGTTAGCATCACTGAAATTCTCATTGTCAACCAAACTCATTGAAGAAATCAGTTAAAGAGGCAAATCTTGTCAAACTAAGGTACTGTATGCTTAAATGATTGCTTTTATTTTATTTAATAATATTTAATATTAATTTTATTGCGAAGTGCTCTCGCATTGGTTGCCTCACAGTGCTGCAAGAAAAATTATAGTGTCTCCCTCCAATTAGAGACCACTTTTGTGACCAGGGTTTCAGTAGTCTTTCAGCTTTGGCTAATTTGAGACCACAACACAGTTTTCTTTAATTGGAGGTGCTGGTCTTTAATTGGTGGGGTCTTTAGAGACCTGTAATTTAAAATGGAAATATACTATAAATAAATTCCAGAGGCAGTTTGTTTGTTTGTAGTTTGTTTTGTTTGGTAGAGAGGGTGCAGTGACAAAAAGAAAGCCCTGTGAGAAGAGGAAGGGTCATTCCATCTCAAATCAAGCAAATTTTGGGATGTCCTACCTCACACTTCTAATATTTAAAAATATAATAAATGGCATTTTGTATGGCAATCCACCACAAGTATGTGCCTTATGGCACTTCAATTGGTGCAATTTAACTTTTTTTAACACAGCTGCTCCAGTATCACAAACCACGCCCATATTAAGCACAATGATGCTGTTAGTTAATGCTTATTCTCCTATATTTACCTTTATGTTACTATTTTAAAAGTACTGTATTTATAGTGATAATTTGTTGGAATCGATAAAATCTGAAACTAATATTTTCTAATGCGTCCTTGTAGTAAATTGGTAGTACACTGAGGAGGCAATCCCGTACTGTTTAGGCCTAAACTCTTCTCTGCAGAATGTGCTTTATTTGCGCTATTGTAACTTGCATTCCATGCCTCCAGGTCCCTATTTTATGATTGACTGAGATGCATCCGATTAGTAGCTTCATGTATCATGCATCTGGCAAATGACCAGAGCATCATGCATCTTGTAACTGACCAGTAGCCTCATGTATCATGCAACTGACCAGTAGCCTCATGTATGCATCTTGCAACTGACCAGTAGCCTCATGTATCATGCAACTGACCAGTAGCCTCAAGTATCATGTATCTTGCAACTGACCAGTAGCCCTCATGTATCATGATGCAACCGACCATGCAGATGCAAATATGGTTGAGTAACATAGACCTGAGAATTGACTGTTCTATTATTTTTGAGGGGTATTCTAGCTTAAGTACCGTCACTAGTTTTGTTGAGGTATAGACTGCTGGTTTGTGTAGTCTACGCTTTTTCTTTATATTTCGTCTAGGATGATGGTCTTCAGGACAGACTCTACCTGTGTCTTTACTACACCGTAACTGACATAATAAAAAAAAAATGCATGCCAGTTAAGAAAAGCATGTCTTAAAACGATTGTAGTACTGTGTACTTCAGTAAAAATCTTACTGTGGCAAAAATAGCCATAATAAATACCCAGAACAGCAGCACACATCATTTTCAGAATGTTTGACCTTTCACTACTAAATGAAAATGCTATTACAACTATTATCGAGCAGACATTGCGACAGTCTGTCGACGAATCTATTTCCGCTCTCTGACTGCTGATTGTCTGTGGCAGTTTGAGAAGGCCGATTAAAAAAAAAAAACATTTATTTGAGGCACCTCCTCACGCTGGTCAATGACTATCAGTGCAGTGTGTGCCACCTTAATGTATTTCTGTATGGTGTAAAAAATTAAACAAAACTGTAAATTGTAGTGTCAATATTGGTAATCTGTACTACTGTATGTCTATATAAAAATTTGTAATTCAACAGAAATAGCACTTGCTGTGGTTTTCATGTGTGGTTGAGATACTGTATACTGTACTGTGGTTGAAATATACTGTACTGCAGTCAAAATAGATTCAGACCATAGCAACTTAATAATTTTCTCTCTAATGCAGTGTGCGGATTTATCCAGATTTTTTTGGCAACTTATTAAAGTAGAACCCCTATTAAGGGGACACCTTCGGGACCAGAAAAAGTGTCCCCTTATAGGGGTGTCCCCTTAATGTTGGTATCACTTCAGGAGACACAAACCAAAAACCAAAATTGTCCCCTTAATAGGAGTTTTTGGCATGTTTTCATACAGCCATGACATACACCTGTACATTCTGTATAATTTTATTTTTATTGACATAAGGAATCAGCTAAGTGGAATTAGAACTAATTTATAGCAACAATTTGCAGTGCAATGCACATAACAATTAATTTTATAATATGAAATCAGTACAAATATTAAAACAATAGTTTTATATGTTGTTTGGTGCAGCGGGAACAGTATGGTTTTATGTAAATGTACCCTTGGGATTTTTTAACAGTGATGATAAATTATGTCAAGTTACATATAATTTGTTTAACAAATAATATGTAATCCACCTAATTTAGGTTTTCTTTATCTTTAATGGAAAGGCATAGACTTATTTCCCACTATGTGTCTACCTGTGTTGTTGTTATGTGAAATCCTTAAAACATAGCAGAGATTCACTGAAAAATTGTCAAAAGTAGAAAGATTTATTGTTATTTACATGTCGGTTCACCATAAGTAAGGAGGTCGTCCATTCTTGTACCTGTATATTTTTCTTCTAAGAATTACTATGAAGAAGACAGTTGAGACAGATTTTATGCCACCAAAATCCTCCTCATAGCCCTCAGCTAGGCAGAAGCCCCAGGGGGGTCAGACACAGGCTTAGCAGTAGAGCCACAAACACACCCGGTAAGTTGATAGTAATCCACAAATTGCACTACTTGTACAGCCCACTGTGGTTGCAATGTGGCCTTTACACACTACCACTGACTTTGTTCACTTAATAGTACTCCCAGCAGCACTAATAGCTAAGAAGTGTTTTAAGGAGGTTTCACACACAGCCACCTGCTGTAGATGAAAAACCTTTTGATTTTAATCACAGGCAGAGGCTTATGTATCTAGGGGCTGTCTCTTATACACATCTAGATGTGTATAAGAGACAGGCGTTAGATGTAATGAACACACGGCCGATTTATTCATTAAGCAATTTTTAACATTCATTATTCATTGAGTTTAATATTGGTTGTATTATGTTTTTGTCAGTGCAACACTCTATGCTAGTGCTCTCCAGTCCAGAAGAACAATCACACCAAACCTTGTTGTTTATTGTGGTCAGATGCATCTCACATGCAAATTACTTGCAGAGGGCCTAACCACAGTTTTTTTTTAATCTCTTA